GTCAACCACCTGAAAAGTGCTGGAATTTCAAAAACCCTGCAGGAGAACATGGGTCAGTGTGAAAGTCAGATACAGAAAGTTTCCATCCTGAGGCTTGTTTCTCCAGGTGAAAGGCGTCCAGATGGATCCTACCAAGGTCAGCGCCATGACTGGCTCACCTCAACCATCCACCTACACAACATTTGCAAAACCTTCCTGAGGTTCACAGAGTAAAGTGAAGCAGTCTCTCACTGCTCCTGCTTTGATGAACCATCTCTTTGTCCCGGCTCCTCTCCACTCTCTGGTCCTTCAGTAGATCTGGTCTGGCCTGCCAATCTAGCTTACAGATAATCCTGGCTGTCGTTCACCAGCAGTGTTGGTTCGGAGCGGTTGGACACAAAAACCAGGAAATGGAAACCGGACTGAGCTTCAATACAGGTCTGGCTCCCTGGATCACACTCCTGTCCCACCTTTATAGTTTCACGCCTTGTTCCGCTCTGCATCCTCAACCATTCTCTCAGAATGACCAACTGTTGGTCACCAGAAACCTGCCTCTGCATGTAGAGTATAAAAAAACTTGGCCCTAAGTTGTTGTTTTTTTTTTGGTCCATCTCTTAACTTCACAACCCCCACAGTTGTGTGTCCCCGCCTTCCTCGTCCCGTGAGGATCCCCTTCCATGTCTCTTGGATCAAGCCTGCCAAAGAAAACTTGTTGCAAAGAAAGTACTGAGCGCGCTCCGTCCCAGAGGAGGCTGTCGTGCACATGAAAGCTGGTAGCCACAGCACGTGAACTGACCCAACATACACCAGCAAGAAGGAAACACAAGCTGCAGCACATACAGCTCGATGTGACGTGTTGTGTAGTGCCTGTCTTGATTTCATGACTCGTGGATTCAGAAATAAATGTGTTAATGGTAAAGTTAGATGCTGTGTGGACCAGTCATGACCAGGAGGTTCATTTCATCACCTATTATGTGTACACCACAATTCTATACTTTTATTTTGCAATGAAGTGTGTTTATTACAGTGATTAGTTTCTGATAGTGAATGTAAAGACAAGCACTCTGTCATTTCATCTGAACACGTTGGAGACAAATTTAAAACAACATAAAGTCTATAATTTGAATCAGTGACATACAGTAAACATCCTCTCAGTCAGTCAGTATTAAAAACGCAGTGACTAAGAAAATAACTAATGATGCTTTCAGGCTTCACTTTTCACAGGAATAAGACGTAAATACAAAGCAGGTCAGGTCAACTAAAGTAACCCGGCGGTTCTGTATGACAGTGTTAATTGTGTTTATCAAATATAAAGCTAGAGATGCTTCACGTGGTCTTCATTTGATGCAGAGACAAGCCTCTTTCTTTGTGGCAGCGTCTGGCCTGTGGAAGGCCCACAACAAATAGATGTGAAATCACACAGTTTACTTTATGAGTGTTTACATGCTGTGGCTAAAAAAAAACGAAAATGATTCCTAATTAAAATTAGTGTCTGACTGTGACAAATGGTGTCTGGGTTTCTTTTAAATATACCAAACAAACCTCATAAATGCAGCCTGCAATATGTTGTAAATTCTACCCATTCATTTAAACACACAACCAGTATTTGTTATTCCAACACACAGCGTCTCTAAAACAGAATTAACGTCATGAAACAACCAAGTAGGACTGTATTAGGAATGATAATGGACAGATGGAGAGTGGAGTCAAAGCGGGTCCACCATTTGCTTGGCGTCGTGCCACACATCTGTGACGCAGAGAGTTAACGATGTTGTCGATGCTGCTTGTGGGATGTTGTCCCGCTGCTTCTGAAAGGCGAAGTCGCCAGACATAGTGGAGGACAGGATTGCCGGACATCCAGGGGTTCGGGAAATGCTTTTTTTAGACGTCAGATGTGGACATTCAAGCATCTTACTACAGGTCTAAGTCATATTAGAGCTGTAGTTTGTCTGTCTCTTACATTGTGTCATTTAAATAAAGCTGCATTTGAAGTCACTAATAACTCTAATCCCTATTTACTGCACCTGACCAGGCTGACAAGATGAGGACATTTAAAGATCCTGCTCTAGATGCTGATGTGAAAAGCATGAATCATAATAACACAAGCAGGTCAGGTGTGTCTAACTTAAATGAATTACTAAAATAAATGAATCACAAAGTATAATACACAATTAAAACACCCTTTATTAAATTGTATAGGCTATTTACTGTTACTTTTATTAATATGTCTTAAGGTTTTTTTTAGGAAATGACAGCCTTTTTTATATATTTATTTATTTATTAATTATTCATGTACATGAGGAGTATTTTCGTGCAAATATTGCATTCAAAATTAAACTTTTATTGGACGAATCGCAGTTTAGTAAGATTGCAACACTAAAACTATGTCCATTTACCAAATGTGTCTATAAAATGCTGCAGCCTTCTTCTCATCAGGTCGCTCACATTAAACGCTTTTGTCTCCTGCGACGAGCTTCAATCGGACTGAATGCTTCAGTGGACATTTACAGAAAGTCACATGCTGTCACATCCAAAGTCTGTCTCCACTGAACTCTGGCACTTTTTTTTGCTTTAATTGATGCACAAACTTTCCCACCTCGCTCAAGTGTAAAAGCTCTTCTGCAATGATTCGACTTTATTTTAAAATTATCTGCACTTCCACTCACGTCTGTCATACAGAAATTGAAAATACGCATAAAAAGAGGTGGACAGAAGCAGACTTTTAAAGAGTTGTATTTAATGTACTTCTTAAGGCAAATTAAAGGTACTAATTTACCTTCATGTCCTGACTTGAAGAGTCGAAGTGCCGAGCACGTAAAGCTGTGACTGCATCGGTGAGAGAAGTAAAGGAAGAAGCTCTTTAATGTATGCTGCTGCATTCATTCCTGTGAAATCTCTTTTCATTTTCCCATTGACAAGTTCAAGCTGATTTCTCATGAATAATTGAAGCATTAGTTCCGGGGTTATTTTTGTATCTTTGATCAGGAGTATGACACACTGCCAACCTCTCTTACGCTCATTTACAAAGCTTAATCAAACTATATTATCTCCTGTGCAGCATGGAAACGCTGGAATAACAACAAAAACTTGTTGTGAACCCACTTTTCCACATATTCTGCAGCAAACTGATGCTTGTGGTTATTGTCAGCTTATGAAACAATCGAGACTCGCTTACGTTTCTTGTTACCTTTGAGTAATACATAATTAGGACTCAACCGTTTCTGAGTGATGCTTTTATTTTTATTTGCGTCTTGGCCAGTATATCCGACACATCACTGCTTTAAAACTGTTATTTTCCGTCTTGCTTTTTTTGTCTTTGCGCTCCCTTGATGCAGATCAACTCCAAATTATGGGTACAAGATGAAAGCAGAGACAGGAATTGATTCTGTCTTGTCTGATAAGACGTGATTTTAAATGATCAAAGAAGCAACAAAAGCTGAGAAGGGATTCTCCTCACTGCAGCCGCTTTTATCATCCGCTGATGTGCATCTGTACAAACAAACAGAAGAAATATAAATGAAAGCAAAGTTGTGAATTTGGTTGAGCATTTCATCAACGTTAAGCGTAATGAAATGAAGACATGTGACCTCATGGCCTACAGAGAGCTGCTACTGATTTATCTCATGAAACTACATCAGCGTGAGCTCGCTCTTCTACAAGATCCCATCATGTAAATCATTAGAGGTAAATATGAAGTTTAGTTTCCACTTTCTCCTGCTTTAGAAAGTGGCAGTGTGCTGTGGATGGTTCTCATGTTGGTATGTTTCTCCAGCTTCTGCAGACTAGACGTCACCTTGTCAGCCATCCATCCATTATCTATACACCGCTTAATCCTCACTAGGGTCATGGGGGGCTGGAGCCTATTCCAGCCGACGTAGGGTGAAGGCAGAGGACACCCTGGACAGGTCACCAGTCTATCACAGGGCTACACTTAGAGACAGACAACCAAGCACACTCACAT